ACATCGAAAGAAGAGCGGAAATTTTCCAACAGGCCCAGAAGCTGGGAACGCTGGCCTGGCGTGAGGTTGTCGAAAATGGAGGGACCGAATACATGTTCGGATGATGAAACATGTTGAAACAGCACTAAGCGTAATGGAACTTGAGCAGTGCATGTCGTCGGGTTGATCCTTAACTTGTGCGTCTTCGATGGGTTCCACGTTGCCGAGACATTCCCCTCGCACCAACTTAACGCTGTACGGGGAGGAGTTCCCAACAAAAGTAGTGGTGCTGCCATGAGTGAGTTGCACGGTCGCGAAAGGAACCAGCAAGCCTTTTCTTATCAAAACACGATGAGATGGCGAGAGGAGTGCAGCGGTGTCAGAAAGGCTTGCGCAGCAGAGAGACACCGCCGCGGACGAGTTTGCAGGCACTTGGGTGTCATCTCTGACGAGTAACGTGCTTGGAGCAGATGAACTGTCGGCCAGTGTCAAAGAAGAGAATTGTGTGAGTTCTATTTCAGCTGGTGCGCAATGAATTACGGCGTCGTGGCGGGAGAGAAAATCCAATCCTAGGATGACGTCGTGAGAGCATGAAGGAATTGTGATGAATTCGACCGCATACATCACGTCCTGAATCATAAGGCGGGCTGTGCACATCGCTGTAGGGTGAATGCTTTGGGCACTGGCTGCACGGAGGGAGAGCCCGGAAAGTGGTGTGGTCACTTTGCTCAGTAATCGGCTAAGTTTTGCGTTCATAACGAATACGGCAGCTCCAGTATCTACAAGGGCAGATGCCCGAACGCCATATACAACCACGTCCGTCCCGTTCGACGGGCGTTCCTGAGGGCTTCCGCAGTTCGACAGCGTCGCAGCCCTTGCCTCGTGGACTGCGATGACTAGTTTTCCTGGTCGCCCTCGAGTGGACGTGGCCGCATCGGTGACAGTGAGCGACGTCGCGCAGATGGTGAAGGGCGGGTAGACGGAGCGGGGTGGCATGATGGTGACATAGGCAGCGGTTGGTCATAATAGCGGCTTGATTGGCTGGGAAGTTGGAGGCGACCTGCGGTTGCTGCACTCGATTGCAATAGCGTGCTACGTGACCGACACAACTACAAGCAAAGAAGATGGGGCGATTGTCAGCAGTGCGCCATCGGTTCGCGGGTCCCATCCATGTCGCAGAACGCGATGGGCGAGCTGGCTGCTGATATGAGTGCATGGTGGGCGGCACTAGGGGCACGTGGCTGACGTCGGCGTATGTAGGCGACACAGTTTCTCGGAAGGCCTGGGGCCTCGCGATGGGTTCGTTGTAACTTAAGGCGACAACCACAGAAATCAGCGGGGGTGGCCTGGCAACAACTTAGGCCTAGATGAGTGGCACAGATACAGGAGGCGGCTGGTGGTATTTAGAAACGCCCTCTATGATTTCCTGCTGATTGGCTCGGCGGAGCGGAGGTAGAAGTGCACTTGATGACTGTTGAGCATGTTGCGGGGAAGCAAAAGCCAGTAAATAGACCTGGCGGGCAACTTCCTCACGTACGAACGACTTCATTTCGGCGAGCAAGGTTGTGTGGTCAGGAACTGCTGACAAAGCACCACGTGGTGATCAGCACCACGTGGTGGCGGTCCACGGATCATCAAGCGCTGCCGCCGCAGTTTGTCGTACCTTTGGCATATTGTAATGACCTCTGCCACAATGCGGGGTTCTTTGCCAGGAGCATGGTGAAGGCATCGTCGGCGATGCCTTTTAGAACATGCGTGATTTTGTCAGCCTCTGACATGTTCAGGTGGACTTTCTTGCACAGGTCAAGGATGTCCTCCATGTAACTTGTGAAGGACTCCCCGGTCTGCTGAGCTCGTTCACGTAAACGCTGTTCGTCTTGCAGCTTACGAACGGCAGGACGGCCGAACACGTCGATGACAGCGGTTTTAAAAGCGGACCAGGTCGCGAAATCAGATGCGTGGTTGTTGTAGCACATGCCGGCCACACCCGCGAGACAGAAAAACAGGTTGTCGAGTTTACCTGCCTCGCCCAATGATTGGGGACGCTCACGCGTTCGTACATGGCGAGCCAGTCCTCGACGTCAGTGCCATCCGTGCCGGTGAAGACAGGAGGGTCGCGGATGCGGGGGACACTGGGACATGGCGTCGGTGTAGGAGGAAGCGTTTGCTGAGCGGTGTCTTGGTGCATGGTAAAAGGCATGGTACGGGATCGAAGTTCCAAGGGCATCGAATGCGGACCGAAGGTGTTTGAAGGACACAGCACTCTCAGCACTCTCCACCTAATTGTTAAGACGTTTATTGGCGGACACTCCGTGATGATTCACGGCACCGACAGTCGTTGTTGTTGTTGTTGTTGTTTCCCTGTGCAAATGGCTCGTACCCAAAGGAGGGGATTGGCCGATTATAAGGTGAATTTGCCCTATACTTTCAGCATTGCGTCATTCCTACAAAACTTTTGTAACCTAATTTTGATTTTAAATGCCGATATCAAGTTTGCTGAAAAAAATAAAGAAAAATAGTGAGACCGTAATTTAGCTAGAAAATCGTTTAGTCGCAGTGATGTATTCCTGGACGGCGAATAAAACATCCCTGTGGCTGAAACCCAGTGTAGAGGCGCCAAATGAAAGAAGATCAGGTTGTGATAATTGCAAGCCCAGTCTTTGAAGAGGTGGTGCTAGTATGCTTTGCCTGAATAAATCGAAACGGCGACAATGTAATAAAAAATGACTGATCGTTTCCTTTTGATTAGAGTAAATGCACACAGGGGAATTCAATATACCTGATCTATGCAAGTAAAAATTGAGAGAGGTAACGCGGCAACGAAATTTTGTGATGACAACTTCCATCATCCTTGAATTAGACAGTTCACTGCGCCAGGGAAATAACAAGTGGTTTTACTCTGGGGAAGCCGTCAGTTTGCCTGATTTTAATTTTGCCTGATTTTAAGTGTGTGAAATCGCGCCACCGTAATGTATACTGTATGAGGGAAAATAGTAATAATTAGTGTCGAAAGCGATGTTTTCGCAAGAGAATCAGCTATTTAGTTTAACAGCAAACCTTTGTGCCCTGGTGTCCAGAATAAATTAATACTTCGGAGATGACAGGGAACCAATGATTTAAAAAGTTTCAGTATGGGTGAGCGACCAGATGCGGACAGAGAAGAGCACACTGATAATGAATCAGTCATGACTGCTACGACTGGAATGGAAATATTTACCTTTTGCAAAGCTAACATTATTGCCACAACTTCAGCCAGAAAGACAGGAAGAAAATCTGGTAAGCGAAGTGAAAATGACCAATCAAGTACGGGGCAATATATTCCAACGCCTGATTTTTCTTGTGATTGAGATGCGTCCGTTGCTATGATGACATTTGTTAACAGAGTACTTAAATGGTCCTGCAATAAACCATTTAAAATATCTGTAGGTAATAGCTTTGCTAGAGTTGGGAAGATATTAGGGTAAACAATTTCTGGAGAAATTTCTTGCTCAGTTAAAGGAATCAGTTCACGAAGTTGTACATTTAGAGGCTCAAGTAACGATTGAACAAATACTATTTGTGGTTTGTGAAATCTGGGCCAATGCACGGAGAGGAATAGGTCAGGATTGGATATAAAAAAATTTGTTCAGAGTTAAACGGTGCTTCATATAGTCGTAAAAAGGTTTGCACAGTAAGAATGTTAAAGCGGCATAATGGGTTTGGTATTTGTGCTTCAAGGTATAACACTGCATTTGCAGTATACTTTGGAAGTACTAAGCAGAGCTGTAAAGCCTCTCTTTCCAATAGAACGAGCGGCCGAAGTTTGTAGGCTGGCGCACCAGAAAAAAGAACGCAGCCAAACTCTAACACAGGTCGGAATTACATTTTATATATATAATCAAAAGTGCCTTCCTTCTCATAACTGATCTACGATTGCTCAACCACCGCAATACGCCCATCGCGCGTACTGCTTTTGTCGCGATGTATTCAATGTGAGGGCGCCAATTTAGATGTTCATTATACATAACTCCAAGATATTTCAATGATTGTACTTGTGGGATATCTTGAAGCTCGTAATTAATAGATATGTGCACGGGATATTTGATAGGAAAAACGAGAGTAGCACATTTACCAGTATTCAGGTTCAACATCAATCCATCCAGCCAATGTTCTATTTCATTTAGATATGCTTGCAAGATAGTGTAGAGACAGTGGAAGCGATGTGCCATAGCAAAGAAAGCAATGTCATCGGCATAAACATAGGTTTCCACATCTGGATGAACGGGGATGATAATAAGCAATATGTTGAATAATACCGGAGAAAGTACTGGCCCCTGAGGTACACCTCGGGTTTGCTTGTGCTTACAGGAAGAGAAACCGCCTTGATAACAATAGAATTCTCTTCTACTTAAAGAATCTGTGACCCATGCTACAATATAAGGTGGAAGTCCATGAGTTCATAGCTGATTATTCAAGATAGAATACTCTACGCTGGGACGCCATAATCACAGATGTTCCTCACAAAAAGAGATAAAAAATTTCGGGGAAAACTGAGGGATTTATGGTACACATAGGCCTTAAGCCTGTGAGTGAGAAACAGTAGATTAATGAGGAGCCAATCTAGCTCGACGCAGGTAGGCACATTCGAGCTTGCCAATACTAAAAGAGCACCATAGTGAATAAGGTTGCTGCGCGAAATTTGCAATGTTCACATATGGATCTCAATCTAGACATCCTTCTCTGAAAGAATAGCGTTCCCATGCCTTTATGAATGTACAAAATGCATTGCAAGATAACACGCATGATTAGCGCTGAGTTTAAGCTTTAAGCGCTTTCGTTGATGCTGTAAGTTAATATAGTTGACTTGCACGGTTCCTAAATATCGCTTTCTGTCCTCTCGTCTCTTCCTTTCGCTGGAGTTCATGCACACGTAGACACGCACACGTGCTCACTGTAAAAATAAATATCTCCAGTGCGTGTAGAATAACGGTTCCCATAATATACCGACACAATGATGGTTCTCTGTTAACAAAAAACCGCAGGCGACGGCGTCCAAGGTGATACCAACGGCGCGTTGGGCCATCTCAGAGTTTCGACGCGGCCGCGCGTTGCTACAGGGCACTGACGCCGTGGACGGCATCGAGAGTGTCACGTGGTGCTTCGCAGCCTGTCTCAAGGTTCCTACGTGTCGCGCCTTCAACTACGGCAAGGGGGGCTGCCAGATGCTGCAGCAGGAACTCTGCCACCAGGCTGGACTCAAGCTAACCGCCGATCCACGCCTCAACTACTACGACTTGCAGGAGCGCGCCCTAGACGAGGTGAGCTCATGCTTCACGTCCAGTTTCATTATGAAAAGTGGCAACGAAGCGTTAGGTCTTTTGAGTGCACGCGTGATACAGTAGCCGTCGGGACAGATCGTTGCCGCGAATGGCCAAAAATTTCAATCACAGCTGCCTGACTGAAGTAAAACGTATATTCCTGTACAATCGTCAGTCAAGTGAACTTGTACTCACCGTAATTATGTAAACTCTTTTAAAGAAGGCTATCTACTCTGATACGATTTTAATTTGTTGACGATGCCGGTACTGAAACTGCTGGTAGGATTTATTAATAATTTGATTGATTGGCTGATTGAATGATCAAAACAAATTAATAAAATTTCCTGTGAGGCGTGCCCTAGCACGCAGTAGGCAACTCCCACGACGCTACCGCCAGGCTCTGTAGGCCGCTTCACGGGCCTACTGGACAGCGCATAGCTGGTAATTTAAAAAATTAAGATGGTAATCAGGAAAAGTATAGTGCAGATTTTGTCTCCATTAGGTGTACGATGGAAGTGGGTCTTGATAAACAGCAATGCTATGGAGGCTAACCATATTTTGTGGGGCTTACGGTTATACATAAGCCGCCTCCTCGACAAATGTCGTTATCATAAAACGTAGATGTGTCACAGAAAATCAATAAATCCCACTACTCCCCATTTCACTCGGAATACAAACAATGGATGAATGAATATATGGATGTATAAAATTTAGGGTCCTTCGGAACATGCTTTAGCACCTTGCGTGGCGACGGCGGCGGCGGTGGCAGAGTGGGTCCTCTCAAGACTTCGGCGGCGTCGTGGTGCGGTGGTGCACAGATCTATAGTCTCAGCATCGCTCTTAAATTGCTTGTGTTTATATGGGTCACTTGGTTTTCGAGGACATAGCTTTATGGCGGGGAGCCGAAGACCCCGATTACGTATAAGGGAAGAATGCTATAGAGAACGGTGAAGGCCACGAAGGCAACGTGAAGACTCCGATGTCACGGAAGGCCTACGCCAACGACTATGTGGCCTCAGATGTCTGAGATGAGCCAACGGTTGATTTCAGTGCATGCTTTTGGTTTTAGAGTTTGGGAATTTGTGTCGTGTTTCTCCTTGGTTTATACCAAACCTCCCTGCGCTGAGAAATCAAGAACAACCTATCATCACCTAATATTACGTTAGTAAAGACTAGGAACAATCTTGAAGCAATACAGAAACAACCTTCACCAACTTTCTAAGGCCTAGCAGCGACCTAGAATCAATAAATCAACAATCCTCATCACGAAGCTAAGGTCTACAAACAATGTACAAGCAAGCACAGTAGTGTTCAATATCGCCTAGTTTCGCGGTCTCACGCCTGGCGCGATATATAATAGGCTTCTTTGATGTGTTTCTTTTTTTCATGCTGTTGCTCATAGTTTTTTATTATGCTAAGGCATCGTCCATTGATGTTTTTTACAGCCTGTGCTTCGTTTTCAGGTGTTATGGTGTGCAAGAACGGGGCAGTGTGTCGTTTGCAAGTGAGATAACTTGGGTTTGTTGGTGAAGCACTATATAAACATACAGCGCGAGTAACGACGAAGACACAGGAATATGTGCTCCCCTCCGGTGTCCTCGTCTTTACTTCTGGTGTGTTTGATAAGAGTTTGTCGCTTGCCCAGCGCACAAAATTTCATTGTGAAGCGCGACAACAACAGTTTGTGAGTAAAATGATCACATAACATGACTGAAACTTAAAATATTTTCATAAGGTAAAGAAATAAACCCACAAAGATGCATTATTTTCATCAATAAAGCTTCTTCTGCGTTGTCCGAGCTTGCGCGCTTCCTCGAAAAAGAATCTTCCGGATCGACTACTTGCTTGCTGTTTTCATCGCAAAAGGCTTAAGAAATAACTTCACTGTTTGGTCCATACATATGTACGCTTGCCTAGCGATCATACTGATTTCTTAGTAGCTCAAATGAGTGTATATAACCACATATGATGAGTTCCACGACCATAACTCACCTGCATCAGCAACAAGACTAGGTGGAAGTCTGTCGATAGACAGAAATATGACGCTCAATCAAGCATACTGCAACCCTTCAGGCTTCCGGGAAACCCACGTCTACGATGAACATGCAAAAATCTACTCACGTGTCATAGGAAACAGGCGGAAGCAATCGATGAGTTTTCACGCAGACGCTACGAGCGTGGCAACTACAACTACTTATCTCAGAAGCTGTACATCTCCACTTAGCAAAAAAGCTTCAGGGTGCAGCCACAGATGAACGCGCAGTAGCACGGTGAGCTCAGGCACCGCAGACTGTCATCAGAAAGAGGGCCATGTCGCCAGCGCTAGACCAACGCTACCCCCTTCTATAGTTCACGATATAGCAGTGGTCCCAAACATAGTATAATTGCAACAAGACGCTCGACATCCCCTCGAGATCGAAACACAGCCATGCTTGTTTTTCAGCGCAAGGGGCCTCTGTGGAACACGCCATTTTGTTCGGAAGACGGTTTTTGTTCGCCCACGTGTGAGCCACGTACGTATCTGCTGTTTGTATCCTTATTTCATTTTTGCAGTGTTTTGGAGAAGTTCTAAAGAAAAAACCTCTGGAGATAACGCTTACGAGTCATTGCCATTTTTCAGAACATATGTCGAAGCTGCAAGTCATGATATATGAGCCATAAACAATAATTACAACAATATACCTTAAATAAGATTGCTTGCTTCAAGCTTTCAAGAAATTGTTTTCTGTGTCTACGCTGCGATGTGCTTATGATATCAGGCGGATTGAAGGTTACTGCTTTCTCGACCTTAAGCGTGAGTTGCAACTTTTTCGTTGATGTTTGTGATGGTGATGTAGGGAAATTTCCGTGAACATGTTGAAATCGTGCACGGAAATCTGAATTCCGGGACATTGTAAAATAATAATGATTTTATGAAGCTTGCCTTGGCAAAGGACTCAAGATTCAATTCCCATTTTTAGTTCGTAATGTGCTCTTAACCTGAAAGGAACGAGTGTTTTGTGTTTTTCTCAATTCAAAATGTGGCGCCCACAACCGTCCTCTGAGCTACCATTTTCAGCGGAACGGTTCAAAGCCATAGACATATTTGCCCAGCGCATTGACTGTGTCGTATAATTTTATAACGCCCACAAAAAAAACTTCTGCTCTGAGCTACGCTGGATATCTAAAGAAATGATTAAACACTAAACAAGAAAGTTCTAAATAGAGCAAGTTAGCTAGCTAGCACAGAGGTAGGGATTAAATGCACAATCAGATCGAAAGTTAAAAAAAGTATAAAGTTGGAGAGATCAGAGTTAAGGTGAACCTCTGTAAAAAGGTTGTCATTACGCTTTTTTTAACCATTTTCAAACAGACTGTGCGCCGATATAAAATAATGAGGGTATTCTGCGTAGTAATGCGGTTAAGTAGGACATTGATAAAATCATGCGCTTATTTACATATATATAGAATGGCGTTACATATAGATTAAGTGATTGTAAAGCGCAGGTAAGTAGGGGGCGGGGGGATACAGAGGGTGTTATTCTGTCGTTGACACATTTATTTCTAAACAGCGTTCTCGAAATAGCCGAGGTCTCTATTACGTTGCATTCTATACTCCCTATGGCACAATTTCAATATTACACTGTAAGAAATATGATGTTGCATACGTTGCATTCTATACTCCCTATGGCACTAATTTCAATATTACACTGTAAGAAATAATGATGTGTTTGGGGAGTGTTTCTGCTACACAACAGTAATCGTCATCTGACTTGCTCACGTTTCCTATCTTGAAAACCCGGCGCTGGCCACATTCCAGTCGGGAACGCTATTTCACACTGATAACGCACACGCCGTTTGCGACCACAATCTACCAGAACTGTGGTGATAACACGAGGAAAGTACTCGATGTAGATGACGAATATTGTTATGCAGCAGAAACACTCCCTAAATAGTCGATTTTTTATAGTGCATTTCTCGCAAACTTTTTATGTTAGATCAGTGCAGTTTAGGCCATGCATAACCGTCCTTAAAGTACTAATCAAACGCTGATTAGGATCTCACGTATATTTCAGCACTTGGTGCGGCTTTCATTATCACCACTTTGTGTAGGCATGAAAACAACACCTGCAGAGGTTCCACAATTGAGTATTCTTAATGCTAAAATCTAATAATTAGGCCTGATGTGGAAGAGTGTAGTCCCACCTTGGTGATCTAGTGGCTAAGCTACTCAGCTGCTCACCCGCAGGTCGCGGGATCGAATCCCGGCTGCAGTGAATGCATCTTTGATGGAGGCGAAAATGCTGTAGGCCCGTGTGCTGAGATTTCGGCGCACGTTGAAGAACCCCAGGTGGTTAAAATTTTCGGAGACTTCCACCACGGCGTCTCTCATAATTATATGGTGGTTTTGGACGTTAAACCCCACGTATCACTATATCAATTTTAAGTGTATATTAGATTACTACATTTCTGTGCAGACTTGTATGTGCGCAAAGATCTGTGTGGACATAAAACCAAGTTTTATGCATTATGTAATGCGTCCCAAAGCGGTATCCTAATGAAGACAATGAAATACGTGGATAGCAAATATATTCTTTCTCTCTTAGCTGAAACCTAAATGGAACATAATATTGACCAGTGTAGCAAAAAATCGTCATAGTTGCCATTGCGATATATATAATTATGATTTAACGTCATGCGTTTCATCTAATATAAATTTATTTGCTGACGATTGCGTAGTGTTCCAAGAAATAATTTGTGACGATGACCTTATCACCCTCCAAACTGACCTGAGTTCTATAGCAGCTTGGTGCTTAAAGTGGCGCATTAAACTCAATGTTAGCAAGTGTAAATTTATGCGTGTATCCAGAAAAAATAACCCATTACCTGTTTGCTACCTCGATAGCATCACAATAGACTCTGTTTTTTGCCTATAAATATCTCGGTGTTAACATTACTAGCAACCTCACCTCGAACGTTCACATTGAACATATTATTAACAATGCAAACCGCTAGCTGGGTTACCTAAGGCGTAATTTTGCTAAGGCACCATCTTCTCTTAAACTACTGTTGTACAAAATACTTATTCGTTCTAGATTAGAATACGCCCCGTGTATTTGGGATCCTGAGAGTAACAATCTCATAAACTTACTTGAAATGGTACAAAACAATTCTGCACATTTCATCCTGCCTAACTATAACCGAACCGCCAGCGTAACAACAATGAAATCTACCCTTAACCTTCAATGCCTAGCAGTTCGACGTAAAATTTCCCGACTTTCGTTGTTACACAAAATATTTTATCACCAACATCGGCGTGAAGAACTCATTTTGCTTCCATTGTACGTTTCTTCTTCCCTTGATCATGCTCACAAAGTCGGTATTGCATCAACACGAACGGCCGCTTTTTCTCAATAATTTATTCCCCGTACGTCATTAGAATGGAATCGACTTCCATCTACTACAGCAACCATTGTAAATCACACGCTTTTTTGAAAATGCCATAGTCAACATTTTGTAATTCTTCCTTGTTGTGTACAGTTATCCTTGCTTGCAGCATTTCTTTTTGTTTTGCCTAATTTTGTATATTATGTTTGTTTGATATGTTTTTTCTCGCTGCTTTCTTGTTATTATTATGAATGTACCCATTCCCCTCTATAATGCCATTGGCCCTGAGGATATTGCTAATAAATAAATAAATTACTACTTATTCTCAATAGAAAATACCTTGTCCCCATCACTAAAATTTAGAGTTTCAATAATTTCATTTATTAGTCACTAAGATAACGTTTGTTTCATAATTGACTCACCTTTGTTTATTATAGCAGATTTGTAGTGCTTGACCCTTGACCTATTATTGGTTTCTGGTTCCGTGCCTTTTTGTTTTTCATTGTGCTCTTGTGTGTTGCCTAATTTGTTTTAGTATTCAAACAGCTGCTAGTTCTTTTTTTAAATATTATAATTGTCTCTAAGGGTCCCTGTGCCGTATTGTACTTCAGAACTCTAATTTTTATACTTTACACTATGTCGCACCCTTAAATGTCATTATACTACGACTACGTCGATGATGGATTGATGAATTGATAATTTATTAAAATTAATTGGGCTTAGAATGACATGGGTGTGTTGTCTATGCGGTGAAAGCGATGAACACCGTCAAAATCACTCGCTGAAGGATTTTTCTCATCGTTTTTTGAAACCTTGCAGTTCTGCACATCCCACGCCTGAACGAGGTGTGTGAAAGAGACTTCGAGTGTCAGATGCGCACGGGCCCGATGGCGGTTTGCCGAAAGCGCTTGTGCAAATGCGCTGAGGGTTACTTCATAGCGAGCAACACGACATGCGAAAAACGTGAGTGCCTCATTAATTACATCTGCGGTTTTCTCGCATAGTGCAGTTAGAAGCATAAAATATATAAATCTAAGCTGCTGCGAGGAAATTTTCGTACACATAAAGCGCATAATATAGATCAATGCTTCTGAGGTGTACTCATCAGCAAAGATAAACATTTTTGCACGCAAAATGATAGTGTCCCAAAAATATTTTAGGTCACTGTGAGAAGTTGTGAATGTTTGTACTAAACAAAGTGTTGCCCATTTTAAAGGTACGGAAATGCAGAGTGCACAAATTTATCAAATATTTTGAGAACGAAACATTACAGAGCCACCCGAGCACTCCTCTTCCTTGGGTGTCCTGGATTGGTTTTAATTGATATGATAATAAAATATATGAAAAAAATGTCCTAAAAGACAGAGAGTGTGAACGCGGATACAAAAAAAAATCTCACACCACTAGACGCCTACTTTCTTCTTTCTGGGCACTTCTTTCTTGCGTCCGTCCTCGCATGCCCTCTATTTTAGAATAAATACTTAACAACCAGCGCCACGCTCTGACACTCCAAGAAAAGCAAGTTGGTGCAGTGGACTATTCAATCTCCTATGAAAAATTCTATCTGCACAAGGTTGCGCTTCTCTACTACAGCATTGAGGCCGGAAAATCTTAGGCAAGGCGTGCAAAAAAATGCTTGCAAGGAAACCAGTTGGTTCTGTGACAAGGCAAGTTTTCTGGACGAAAGTTTGGTGCAATGACATTTTCTCTTACACAAAGTAAAGTGGTGCGTGCGAATAAATACTGAAACACAGAAAGGCCGAACAAGGACATGTGTTTGTTTTTTGTGTGTCCCTGTGTTTATTTGTGCACAGCAGTTGACCTTATTGTAAAACAGGTCAGTTCAGGTCTTTTCCTAATTTTTTTTTTCAAATTCATCTTTAGCAGCTATTTTGCTGCATGAACCATCAGCGCGCACTGCATCCTTCTCTTCTCCTCAGTTCTTCCGATGTTTCAAATTCGTTCAAAAACAGTGCAAGTCTGTATCTACCTATGTTTTTCAGAGTTTCTACTGTTCGTTGGTATACGACAAGCAATGAAGATTAAAACACAAAAAGTGCGCGCGCAAAGATGCATGCAGATTTAAGTATCCCACTGCATCAATTCATGCTCAGTCCTTTTTTATGTTGATTGCTTTCCAAGACTATCAGGAATGATGACAACCTAGCTTCAGTGATGATTACAAATTTTAATTTGTGCACTGACCTAGCTAATCTGCGTTTATCGCTTAAGAATTGGTGCTACACGAATGCGTATTCTGTACGCACTCATTGCCTACAGCGTGACCACGTTTCTAGCGTAGGTAAGCACGCCTAAAAATCAGGTGTCCCCTCAAGCGTAGACAGAGCAGGGATGGTTTGCGCTACTCATTATGCATTTCGTAAGTATAACACATCCACACTTGCGCTGGTGACCTGTATATATACAATATGAACGACAAAAAACGTTGAGGGTGAGACGCTGAACTATTTGGCATGTTGTAAAATATCAGCGTGAACAGGGCGGAGATCAAGAAAGTTCAAGAAACCTCAACTGTGAGACGTCACTTGTTCTGTATCTTTCTATTCGTGGGCTGCGTCCTTTTCGCGCAGATTTTTTTGCTACATGCATCACTTCCAACTCGTCAACCTCGCTAACTTAATGCACTCGGCTTGCGTTTTTATTTTATGAAGTGGACATTTCACTAGAGATAACTTATATAACATAAGCTGGTTCTACGTACTTGCTACAGACCTACTTTTTCACCATGCACTTGCCATGCCATATTGGTTCTTGGACACAAAGCCGTATATTATTGAGAATTTATCTACTGTTTATTTGAGGGGACATACTTTCACGTGCGTTTCTTGTTTCGCGTCTATGTACGTAATGCCCAGTAGCTGCGTCTCGCATTCGCTAACGCTGACGCAACATGTGCCGACGCCTCGGTCTCGCAGTTCCGGTGGAGGGCTACTCGCTCTACCCGGGTGCTCTGGAAGGCGGCTACTTTAGGCTTTCCTCAACAGAGGCCAACTTCAGTCGAGCCTCGTCCGAATGCTCCCTGGACGCCGGCGCGGAACTTGCCCACGTGGCCGATGGAGACACCAACCGCTTCTTGAGGGAGCTCATGCGACGCGCCAAAGTTCGCTCGGCATTCATCGGACTTACAGACGAACAACAGGCAAGCAACACTGTCACCTCTTAGCACAGTAACGCTTGCACCATGCGGCGTCAGTAAAGCGCTCGACTTCATGTGCGTTTGTTACAGTGGTATTTATCCACTTTACTCTGTAACGCAAGTCAATTCATGCTAACAAGTTGTACCCTGCGAACTATATTGCCATTTGCATTGTACCCTATGTCGTGAGAACGTAGGCTTCATAGAAAAAAACTGCGCTAAAACAAAAAAAGGAAGCAAGACCAACAACACATAGCGATGTCCTGTGCTCTGAACTGTTTCTTCTGTTACCGTGCCTTGTTGCTTTAATGGTGTTTTTAGTATTAATGTGTACCAACAAGGTCGGGTTCACAAGCTTCTCAAGAACGCAGGTGTAACCTTTGCGAACGCTGATTGGCCGCAAGCACTGCCTCCTACTTTTCGAGTGGGAATCTGGCTTGTCTTGGTGTCACGGGGGTAAGAGTATGAATGAAGGAAGTATACTTACAAAATATGTAGGAAAATCGTAGGCCACTTCAACCAAGATGGCAGGACAGCGACAACACAAGCGTGATCACATTCCACGTCTTCATCGCCTGTCTGATGGTTTCTTGTTTGCTATGTCGTGTAACAATGCAAAATACCACGTGACCACCCACTCACCACGTTTATCCAGGCACGCGAGCTGTACGAGCAGTTCATTAAGGGGTTTTCCTGATTTAAAAATGTTGCCCATTACTCCAGGGCTTTTAAAGCTACCTAAAGTGGCGGGCCGCAACTCAGAAATTCGACGGAGTTGGGGTAGGACAGTAAGGAAGCTTTGAGCGAGAAAGGTTGGTGGTGAGTTCAACAAAATGTTAGATATCGTTGGTATTTGACAGGGTACGGCCCCTCCCAATCTCATTTTGAGCGTTATTTTTGATTCAGACTTAGTCTAAAAACTTGAAGAACATCAGTACCGACCTCAAGAATGACCTAAATCGAGACACTAATTCTGATGGCGACTACATAGAGCTTGGTTTGGTATGAAAAACTTTGTTTGAAAATCGGTGATGAAGGTGGCCATGTGCGGGCGGCGGGCCGCTAACAAAAAGTAGCCAGGCCGTATGCGATCCTCGGTCGTATAGGTTTGTTATCAGGATGGCTCGGTCATAGGTTATTTATCAAAGGGTGGGCTGCGAGTGCTCCTATCGACATCAGTGTTGCGAAATGGGTGCCCCCATTCCATTCCAATTGCATTCCGGGGAATTAGCACTTTCTGCAACTCCATTCTTATCAATTCTTCAGAATGAAAAAAAAAATTGGTCTATTCCCACTGAAGGAATGGCGGGGCCGTTCGATTTCATTCCTTCCATTCATCAACGTAGTTTATGCATCTTGATAGTTTTATTGAGTTAGGAATGAACTACCTGCCCCGCCACGGTGGTCTTGTGGCTAAGGTACTCGGCTGCTGACCCGCAAGTCGCGGAATCAAATCCCGGCTGTGGCGGCTGCATTTCCAATGGAGGCGGAAATGTTGTAGACCCGTGTACTAAGATTTGGGTGCACGTTAAAGAACCCCAGGTGGTCAAAATTTCCGGAGCCCTCCACTACGGCGTCTCTGATAATCAAATGGTGGTTTTGGGACGTTAAACCCCACAAATCAATCAATCAATCAATCAGGAATGAGCTACCCCATAAATATAGTGTCTTGAGATCCGTTGAAAACAGCAGAAGTACGTAAAACACGTTACCAAGGTCTAGGGATAGTAGCTTGGTGGCATATATATATCATTCAGTAAAACCACCCTACTGATTCCCATAGGAGCAGTTATCCCCACCACATATAGTATAGTAACAAAACACTATACCTGCGGCATTTTATTGAACAGTTCACCACCACTCTGGCACCTTGTACTTTTGCATCTAATATGAAACACAGGGCCACACTTCTCGTCGGCACTCACGCTTGCCAAGCGCGCCTCGCAAGCATAGATGGGGTGAGGAGAACCTTATGTTCACCTGTGCGAAGGTATACAATCTCTTCCTTGTCGCAAAGGTTATTTACTTGTGTCAGGTACTGAACTGCTCGTAAGGCCGTGCATAGATTATTTGCCCTTCTGTGTGGGTCATCAATGAGAACCAACGTGCGAGGACAACATGCTTTTTTTATTTTTTCAGTATATGTTGGGATAATGCATTTGTCGGTACGCCAACTTATGCCGTGGTTTCTCTTTTACAAATTGGCAGATTGTTCACACTTTTACACCACGCCTACTCTTGATTTTGAGTAACTACAGGTCGACCCAGCGAAAGTGTTGTGGCCTTCGACTTCGATAGCGCATGTACTCACCACCTACAGGACTAATTTGAACATGATATTACAGTAGTAGCTCTTACGGGTGTATGGAAAAATACTGCCCAAAGTCCTCTTTGCTTGCCGATGCGATCGCGGATAAGTGCAGAGCCATAGGAACCAAAAGGACTTGAAGTTGAAAGCGCGAATACGACACGAACGAAGAGAGGCAATACACGCCCACGGAGCGCCTCTTCCAACAAAGATTTATTTTAGAGAGCGCAGAACACAAATACGCACCACGCGCGCCGTCACTCTGCCTCAATGCGCAGTTGCGTTCAAGTAGAGCAACTCTTTTAGCGATAATGAACTGGAGGCTATGCTGACGCATAGATCACCTAATTCGATTATTCTCTTGGTTTCAACGATGAGTCGTGATAATTTATCAGTAGGACGAATCAGCACGGATTTATATGTTCTATGCTCTTTTGAAATAAATCTTTGTAGGAAGTGGCGCTCCGTGTCTGTGTATTATCTCTCTTTGTCCATGTCGTATTCGCGCCTTAAACTTGAACTATTTTAAACCAACAAGCCCAGCCTGTCATTGTCAAACCAAACGAAGTTACAAAAAAGAGAGAAAAAATTGGCCCCGTATCTGCATTTAATCTACAAATGTCATCAACAGACGATAGTCTTGCGTGTGAAGAAAGTGAACAAAACATTTGTTTGACGTTTTGCGCAAGAAAATCGGTGGATGGTATTTTGGAGGCGCTGCGTTAGAGTACCTCGAGCGTGAAGCGGAGGCAAGCGAGCGCATCAAGTCACGTCACACGTGAGACATGGGCGCCATCTGGCAGTTTTTTTAGAAAACAAAGCGCGCGGCTCTGAGACGGGTGTTCGCGCCCATCTCGGAGGCGATGAGGTGTAGAACGCAAGGCGACGGTAGGTGCCACCTCGGTCTCGTCTTAGCAAAGCGTTGGAAACACTCCCCATTCCATGCAAGCGTTGCATGGTCAGCGCAGTGTGCTAAGCGCTACGCTCCTTCAAATTACTTATGTATAACTTTTCTAGTAAAACACGCACATGCATAGCATATACATGTTGTTATGGTGCCCCACACATGCGCAATAATTGCATTTTAATTGACGATTGCACAAGCATAAACGCTCAACCTTGAGCTACATTCGTGGGCGCTGCGGATGGGGTCGGCCGTTTCAAGTACTCCATGCCGTTAAGAATGGAGAAACAGACAAATGTACAGACAGACAGACAGACAGGCAGACAGACAGACAGACAGACAAACAGACAGACCAAAATTTTTGAGCCGAAGGTCTCCAAGAAACACTATCGTTTTTAATATATATCAGCTTAGTAACGATTAACTCAAGGAATAAAAAAATTCAGCCAAGACAGCTCTTGCCATTGAATCTTTCACATAAAATCGATCTCCACAAATCATGAAATTCACTGTACTGTATTTGGATGTAGGACAGTATGAAAATGTGTATGAAAATGTTTGAAAAGCACACTTATTAAATTCATTTTGGTGCCCTCTGCTGTCATGTGAATAATAATTATATCCCAGGTATAACACAAACAGAACTTGAAAGCAGTATGTTTATAACGAGTGTGTTGAGTCAAGTATATGCAACAAATATAAAAGTAAGTTAATATGGGCTTCAAAACATCTTGACTCTAATCACCTGAGCCATTTACTTGCCCTGTAATATTTCAGTTCTCTCTAAAAAGAATAAAAGCTTTCCAATTTAGTAAACAAAATTTGGCACTATAGCAACCCATCATGTAAACCAATTTGCTATATATAAGCGAGTAATGATTAAAGCACATAGACTTGAGAGTGCGCAAAAAAGGTATACCTTTTGTGAATGTAAATGCTTCTGCTGAAATAAATTGTATGGTTTGTTTTTAGGTGAAAAATGAACTGATTCTATTTCATGAACAACAATAAGGTATCAACTCTGTTCCTTTTAAGGTGGAAGTGACATCAAAGATATTAAGCAGCTCTCACCCTGCAAACTTCAAAGAGAACTGGAGAGAAAGAACACAACTTTTTAATGAACCTTCACCTTAAAACAAATGAACTTCCTTCTTGATAAGTGTCGCACTATGGTTTAAATGTTTTTTTCACTTTTCGAATCTTCGACCAGTAGTCTTTAACTGGAGATAACACCAGTCTTATATTCAGCAGAGGCTTTATTAAACACTAGTAGATAGCAGTGTCTTCATATTCCTTCTTTTTTTCTATCTGTGCGTCTAAACTTTCCTGCAAATACTCAACTGCAGCTAGCACCACATTTACACTTTAATAGCAGGCATTGTGCCTTTAATACAGCTGTATTGGTTCATGACAAAAACATATCCTTTTTTCTGATTTCAATAGATTCTTTTCCTAATTGTGGTGTTATTGCCACTTCCAAATCTTATCGCACAGATAATAAGTTGTTGCGTGTATCAGTGTCACTTACCAGTGTTGCATAAGCACACTATTCGAGCTGTCAGAAGATAGCTGCATGTGGTTAAATGCACGCTAGTACGGTTTGGATCTCTTGTTTACTCATGCAGGCTAGTACTAGATAGCAAACTATTAAAGTAAGCACGGACGAAATTGAGATGTTGTCTAAATGATCCTTATGCCTGTGCAGCTAGTACTCACCGTAAGGACGCATTGCTTCAAGGTATAAACACGGGCGTGCACAGAGTCCAGCAACCACACAAAAAATGTTTTCAG